GGAGTGGGGCGGGGGGCGGGGGGCGGGGGGCGGGGGGCGGGGGGGCTGGGCCCGGCTGCCCCGGGTGCTCCTTAACCGGCTTCCTGCAGTCCGCGGCGACGGGAGCGCCGACCTGGTGGAGACCTTCGCGCGGAGGATCGCGGCGCTGCCCGCCGACCAAGCGCCGGTCTTCATGGTAGGGGGCGGGCGAGGCCGGGGTCCCTCCGCCCCCCCGCGCCCCCTCCCCCACTGACCGCGCCCCTCTCGCCCCGCAGGAGGCCGGGCCGGGGCTCCACTTCGCCCACGTGCGCCACGCGGGGCTCTACCTGGTGGGCACCCTCCGCCCCGACGCCTCCCCCTTCGCGGCCGTGGAGTTCCTGGGCAGGTAGGCGCCGGGGGGGGCGGGCGGGGCCGGGGGGGGCGGGCGTCGGCTGAGTCCCTCTGCGGCCCTTGCAGGCTGGCGGCGCTGCTGCGGGACTACTGCGGCCGCCTGGACGAGAAGACCGTCGGGCTGAATTTCGCCCTCATCTCCGAAGTGCTGGACGAGCTGCTGGTGGGTCGCGGAAGGGGGGGATGGGTGGGGGTCGCGGGGGGTGCGTGCGTGGCTGAGCCCTCTCCCCCCTTCTAGGATTACGGCTACGTGCAGAGCACCGCCCCGGAGGTCCTGAAGAGCTCCATCCAGATGGACCCGGTGCTCAGCCAGCCCTTCAGCCTCTTCGACCTCAGCACGGTGGGCTTGGTGAGTGGGCGCTGGGGGTCCAGGGGGGCTTCCTGCTCCAACTGGTGGACTTTCCCTGGGAGAAAGCAAATCGTTTGGGCGTGTTGAGTCCAAAGTCCATCGTATCCAGCGCAGTGGTGGGATTCCAATATGTGAATAACTGGTTCTCTGTGGATGCCGCTTCCGGAAGTCCATTCTGGGCCTGGGCAACAAAAAATTAGCTAGTTTCTGCCGAAGTAGTGCTGAATCCCACCACTGTATCCAGGTCCTGGTTGTCCCAAAGGTGCTTTTTCAGGAGGCAACTGGACTTTGTTTTTCTTTGAAGATGTTTCGCTTCTCATTCGAGAAGCTTCTTCCGCTCTGGCTGGGTGGTTGGGAATGAAAGGATTTATACTCCTTTCAGACAGCTGGTCATTTGCCTTCTGTTAGAGGGTGGTTGGGGTCATCTAGATTATCTGTGTCCTCAGGTCATAGGTAATGTCCCGAGGACAAAAATAATCTTCCAGATGTCCTTCTTTGGGGGTGCAGGTCCAGCTTTGGCTTTTGGCCAGTGTGACCAAGTCATGCGGAAAAAGAAAACATGGTTTATGTATTGGTACATAGTAAAAATCATCTGGTCTTTAGCCGTTTTTAAAAATAGGCAAATGCAACCCCAGATGAATGACAACACATGACGGATTATGTGATGCCATCATTATTATTTTTTTTTAAAAAAAAAGCAGAAATGGAGAAGCCATGTGTGAAAAACTAAATATATCCTCACTCCTTCCATAGGTATAACCCACATTTCTACTGTTTTATGTGGTTGCAGTTTGGAGCAGATACGCAACAGAGCAGAGTGGCCCCCAGTTGTGCAGCTGCTCGTCCAATCCTGTCGCTGCGGGGAGAGCAGGTGAGGTACTCCAGTTCCCACTCTGGTCAGTGCCCCGGAGCCTCCAAAGGGATTGACTGGAGGAGGCCATAGCCAGAGGCTGCCTGGCGGGCGTCAAGTTGGGGTGGAAGAGGACGAGTTGAAGCCAAGTCTTCAAAGGCCCATAAAAATTGTGGAAAATGAACTTATTTGTTTTAAAACTGTACTAACCCTCCTAATTTGGAGGCATCTTTGCCTCATCTCGGATATCTCAACAATGCCAAATGTGGCCCTTGCCCTATAAACGTTTCACAAAATCAGAAGTTCTTCAGAAGAGGGTTACTCCATAACTACTCCATCCTCAGATCTCTTCATGATTGTGATCTATGCAATCGGTTTAGAGCCCACCACCCAAAATCATCTAAGCCAGAAATCCCAGAAATGGATTCAGCCACCCTGTTGGGTTGCCGCATCTTTGAGCAGCAAGTTTGGTGAGGGTGGCGTCCCCATTTGCCTCGTGTGGGCAGAGCAGCGAGTCCCCTGGAAATGGGGGGGGGGGCAGCCTGGCCTAGCCTTGGGTCCCTGAAAGCGAGAGGGTGGCTGCCCCGGTTTAGAGAATGGGACGATGGTGCCTTTCTCTGCCCCCAGATTTCACAGCCTGAGGTTTTCCTGGATGTGGTGGAACGACTCACAGTCATCATCGCTGCCAACGTGAGTCAGAAAGTGCCAGAGAGGAGCTGGTTTCCTTTCAAAATTCGAGGTCCTGTTCAGGGGGGATGGAGAGGTTGAGGCGCTCGTCTTTTCTTTTTCTAGGGCACTCCCATGAAGACGGACATCCAGGGGGAAATACGGCTCAAGAGCTTCTTTCCCGGCTGCTCTGGTGGGTGGAGGAGGCCGCTCGGATGTATCTGCTGCCTGCTGGAGGCCCAGCGTAAAACAGGGATATCATAGTTGCTTTGGCTGCTGTGGGGCGCAGCTCTTGAAGGGCTGAAGGGAGGACCGGATTCCCCGGTATCGGCGGCCAATTTAGAATTTGTGGATGGGATACCGAAGAGGGCGTACAAAGGGAAAAGACGCCAGGATAATTACAATTAGGACTTATGAATGAAAATCCAGTACTTCCAATAACAGAAAAGAGGGGAATAATTATCTAATTGGGCTTAGAGCAGGAAGTTTATTATTTCACAACTTGTGAGAGTAAATAGGAAAAAAAACCTAGCTAATATCTCCTAGATATTGGTTTTAAAAGGGGGGCAAATCACAGGATGCAGACCCAGAGACCGAGACCCCCTTCCCATGGGAAAGCCAGCCCCGCCCCGCTTTGCCCAGGTTAGGGCCGCAGGACGAGGGGGGAGTCCAAAGAGTCCATTGGGCTGCGGTTTCTCTTGCAGAGATGCGGATTGGCCTGGCGGAGGAGTTCTGCGTGGGCAAGGCGGAGCTCCGAGGTGCGTAGCCCCTTTGGTTGTGGCCGGATTGTGACGACACACTGGGCGGAGCTATTGCCCCACCAGCATCTTAGCCCCGAAGGGTCTTGGCTATTTTGGGGGAAACTGAATGCTCCTAAGGCGGCGGCGGCGGCAGCATCTCACCTCCCTGAAATGAAACCCTGGAAATGGGCTGCCAAAAGAGGCTCTCGGGGGAGCCTCCCTGCCGGTCTCCAGGTCAGGGCGTCCAGGGTCATAACGCTGCTGCTTGTTCCTTGTTCCTTGCTCCCAGCTGGCTGAGGGCCAGCTGATCAGCCAGCTCATCCAAAGGGGGCTCGATTTGCTCTTTTGTCCCCAGGTTATGGCACGGCTGTCCGCGTGGATGAGTGTTCCTTCCACAGTTCCGTTAAGCTGGATGAATTTGAGTGCAGCCGCATTCTCCGTGTCAGCCCCAGCCAAGGGGAGGTAAAGGCAGGGAAGGGACAGGTCCACACAGTTGGAAGAGTAGATACTATAGTGAGTTGATCCTGAGCATCTCTGCTCAGGCTGGGTGAAGGTACCTTCTGGGCCTTTTGCTGGGTTGTGCCTCAAGGGCAACTACAGATGGGGACACCGATATCCTTCCTCACCCTTCGCCTTGTTGTCCTCTCGAGCCGTCCCCCACCTGGCAACAGGCCTTTGGGGGGATGGGGTGCTCAGAATCATACATCCTATGCTCAGGTCTCCATATCCACTGGGGTGGTCAACATCTCCCGCCAAAGCCTGTCCTGTTGTCCCACTGGGCCCAAAGGTCTTCTGTGCTCCTGAGGTCCCTGGCATGAGACCCCAAGACAGCAGCAAATGGTTTAATGTAAATTTTCCAACCACCCCTACGAAACATAAATCCACAATTGTTAAGACCCGCCTGTACTCCCCGTCACGTAGAAATCACGGGTTCCACGGGTATCTTTACACAGTGTTACTTTCCAGGGTGCCTCCCACTGTTAACTCGTGTTCGGTCTTTCTCAAGGTTTACTAGTTGTAGTTTTAGTGTTTGAGATACCAAATGAGCTGGATAGCTGGTAAAATACAAGTAGTAGTCATTTAAGCATGCTTGCTTTTTTGTTCCTTGGGATCCGTTTAAATTACTTTAGGTGGATTTGTCCTTGAAATCTGCTCAGAAAACCTCATC